TCTCTCCCCCGATTTATCTCTAACATATCAGTAGGGAAAACTTGGCTGGTAACATTCAAAGCCTCGAAAACCAAACGAGATACATTCAATCATCGCCTATCAGACCCTGAACTGCCACCTGTCACGACGAATTGATGTTTCTTGGAAGATACCCCATGCCTTGATTAATTATTGGGCGTTAAAATCTACCCAGACTTCAAGTGAAACTCATACATATAATCCATCGTTAAAGATGTAAGAAATATAGTCGGTAAGTACCGGATTCTACATGCTATCCTCTACCTTTACAAGAGCCTGATCATTTTTGCTCAGGAGCTGTTCACTTCTCATAATTTCGACAGAAGCCAGAAGCCTCCCCGTGTCCTTGTGGGTGACAAATTATTTTTCATTATGCAACCGTCTCTCACAGACAGGATGTGGCAACCTTCTTCCTGCTTCATCGCTACTTCGATGGAAAATGTTCGGACGAATTGCATTCCTTGATTCTGCCAGCTCTAACCTTACCGTACCACTCACAGTGTAGCAAACCACCCTCCCTATTCCACTGATGAGAAATCTCATTGGATCAATTTCTTCCCGTGAACAAATGCTCTGTGGAACTGAATCCCAAGGGGGTGTTTCCCCAATGACTACAATCTTAACATGCTCAAATCTAGGGTTAACAGTTATATTTGTCATCTGTCCGCTGTCAGGGTGAACCACACTGTTTGTATATATATATATATATATATATATATATATATATATATATATATATATATATATATATATATATATATATATATATATATATATATATATATAATGTGATAATGAACAAAAGTGAAAAACATATTAGATTGTAAACCTTTCTTATTTGTTCTTTATCTTATCAATATGTCAGATTCCGATCCATATTTGATTTGGAGTTGATCCCAACACACACACACACACACACACATACCGACAACAAACATACAGACACACAGACACACACGCACACACTTATATATAAGTCCGCCAATTATAAAAAATATCTTATAAACAGAATATATATATATATATATATATATATATATATATATATATATATATATATATATATATATAGTAGTTACTACTAATAAATATATAAAGTACTGTCCGAATTAACTAGGACGGTCACTTCAGTAAAGTAGAGAAATGATATATTTTCAAATCGTGTTTATTTTTTCCATGTAGCTTTACATAGCGGTTCTAAAATGTTACAAATCAGTATTTTATATATCTGCCTGTCCTTTTAATGACCATCTGGACACGTTTTGGCATAATTTCGGGCAGTTTCAGAACCATGTTGCCACATTCTTCACTTTCATAATATATCTGAATGACCGTACAGATTAGCTTCTCCATTGAAGTACAGTCGTGTTTCTTTAGTTGTTGCTTCACAATACTCCACAAATTTTCAACGGGGTTCAAGTCAATGGAGTTTCCTAGCCAGTCCGACAATTTTATACCCTCATTTTGAAAACAAAAAACACTCTGAATTTTTTCGACTTATAGCATGTGGCATTATCTTGCTGAATCACACCATCTTCATTTGGGGTCAATTTTTTTCATTTTTTTGAGCATATAGATTTTCAAAAGATCTTCAAATTTTGTGCTATCCATCATCCTCTCAATTATTCTCAATCAACCTAACCTATTTATACTAAAATTGCCCCAGAACATTTCCTTGGGAACGTGTTTTTTTTGCTCAATATGGCCATCTCTTATAGGTTCATCTTTGCTTCTCCTTATAAAGTAGTATCGATGACCTCTCACTTCAAATGCGTTTCATCCGAGAACAACACGTTTTCCCAACCGTTCAATCTTTGAAATTTTGCCCATTGGAGTCGTTTATTCTTTATTTTTCCTGTCAAAAAGTGTTTTTTTATGCCGTTTTCTGGATGGCCGCTCCATTTCAGTTAGCCGTCGCCTAAAAGTTGAATCAGATATCGACGCACCGGATTCTATTAAGACTGCTGCCAAGTCCCTGATACTCTTCCTCGGTTTTTTAATGCTGTTTCTGAACAGTATTGCTTCGTCTCTTTTGGTCGTTTTACTTTTTACACAAATTCTCTTTTTGAAAACCTTATTGTGACCCAATAGAACCTGCCTTTTCACAATGTGTCCAACACTGGACTTGTTGCACAGATTTTGTTTGAATATTCATGGAGAACAGTAACCTATATATTCATTTTTATTTTACTTGAATGAAAATAATAGGTTAGTTAAGAAATCAGAAGCAGTAACCGAAGGAACAAAAAATCTGACTTACAAGCAAAACAATATAAATCACACAATTCTTAACCAAATACAAAGTTTAGTTACAAATAAATTCTAAAATATTTAAAATTATTTCAAAAGTGTTCTATTGTAACAGGAGTGTGCACTGCAATGGCTTCATTGTGATTAGGGGTCATTAAACTATTCTAATGCTGTCCAATGATGGTATAAAAGACAAAAATATATTAAACTGAAGTCATTGTACCAATTAATT